GATATTCTATATGTATGTACTATGTTTTTCCAACTCGAATTTAGCCTCGTTTACGTTTATTCTTCTCCGAATCTTTTGCGTAGTTTTTTCTTTGCTGCCGTTTATTTTTCAACTTCTTCTTCTTTTTTTGTTGTTTCGAATATTGCAATTCCCTTCGAATTTGCTGATGACGTACATTTATTTGTTCTCGTCTTTCTTTTCGGGTGTTTTCAAATTGCTTTAGGAATATAAATAAATTGAATTGTCTACTTCGTGGTTTTGAATCGTAAAAACTTGCTCATTGTGGATTCTTTTTATATCATTGATTTTTCAGCATATATTTGGAAGAAGAATGCTTTTTTTCGTTCTTTTACTTTATTTACGATTTAGTGAATGAAATTCGAAACGAAAATACAATCAAACTTTTTTTAAAGAAGAAAATCACTCAAAACAAATCCAGAACATTTATGATTGTCATTCTCAACGTAATTTGAATCGACCATAACAATCGCTAAAAAAACACCATTCAAATGTATATCATATTGTTGTGTTTAAAGAATTTTTCCACATTTCTTACGGAAAATGAGAGACCATGAAGGAGAAAGGAAACGAGGGCTAGACAGACGGAGAGCGCGCGAAAGTGAAAAGAAAACATTAGTGTTTTGAGATGAAATATATTTCGATATGCTGATGTGCAAATATTTACCGGACCAAATTACCATTTTAAAAGAAGTAAAACTCTATTTCGGCATCGAAGAAAAAGTTCACGTTTCATTTATATCACAACACAAAACTGGAATATCCTTATGAACAAATGAACAATTTAAGAGTTCCATTCCCTAGTTCTTTCTCTCTCTTTCTCTCTCTCTGTGTTTGTGGCTCCAGGATAATTTAGTCGCGGAATCGGTTCGACAATAGTCTTCGAAAATGCGGCTCTCCTTCTTTTTCACTTAAGCATAAAACCATTAGCAAAATGCATTGCAACGCCATAGAATACAATATAAATGAAATATTCCATTTTGTGTTGTGCTGTGCCAAAAAGCAATTTAAAATTGAAAATAGAGTGCACATCTTGTGTGCATATTTTCGTGTGTGTGTATGTATATGTTTGTCGTGAAAAATTAATATGCGCTTTCAATATAGAATTTGCTCCTATTTTCCATTAAGTTTATTCTTTTGTTTGGTCCAAGATTTATGCATTCTCAGTCATTCATTCGTACTAATCGTCATTGTATTTCGGAAATGGAAAATAATTACCGAACGATTTGGACTAAATGAAAAAGGAGATAAAGGGAAAAAAATGTGTGGTATTTTGGCGAAAATGAAAAAGGAGTGAAAATTTGTGTGATGACAATGACAACGTACAAATAAAACAATAGAAAGGCACGAAGTTACCACAGCCGCGTACACCCCAAAAAAATGCACATCGAAGAAATTTGTGACCCAATAATTTTTTCTCTCTTACTTTGTTTGTTTGTTCATTGAATAAGACCACCATTATATTTGATTCGTGCGCTTTTGTTCTAAATCACAGTGAAAAAACGACCATGCTGAAGAATCGGGGGCAAATTGCGATAATGCTTACTCCTCATTCATCTGCTAATGTCAGTCAGTACTGTCGTCGTTTTCGTCGACGTTTGAATCCTTTAAAAAAATATATTCGAAAATCGTCGGTTCGTTTATGCCATTGGCTATGTAGCTTTCTGCCTCTCTAGCTACCTCTTCCTTTCTGTTCCATTGGCAAACCGAAAAGTGTCATTGGATTGTGATTTCGCTATTTTTGAGCATTTGGCCTGAATTAACTTGAATGACATGCTATATTCTCAAATATTTTATTCATTTCGTAGCAGAAAAAAAATTCATGTCAAATGTTTACATTGCCTTTTCCAATTCTTATGTTCACAATTCATGTTGAATTTCGCCCGAGTAAAATGCTTATGCTGCGATGCGCACATTCAAAACGACCAACCGGCGTACATTTGTAACAAGGCTTCGTTTGTAATTTGGTGTATCTTTCTCTCTTTTTGTCGCAATTTGAAAAAAGAAGAAGACGGCTTCTGAGCAATTTGATGTTCTGCTTTGATAAAATGGCACGAAGTGCGGAAATGTAATGTTTATGATGTCAATCAAAATGAGTTTCTGCGAATGGAATATCGCCCAAATGCGTGGGCGATTGCATTCAATTCTGATTTCCATTTGAATGATGGAAATCGATATCCAATTTTGTTTGTGTTACTTGATTGTCATTTTGATTTCGAAGTTCAAACGTCAAATCAATAGAAGCAAAGAACGAAGGGGTCTTCTGTTTGTTGTTGCTGTGCTTCAAAACAGCAAACGCGTGACTCTTTCTTCTTTTTCTGGTTGCATAATGAATAGCAGTTTATTTATCTGTTGATGCTTCTTTGTCGCTGATTTTGGATTTATCGATTTAAAGAGGTAAATGTTGTCAAATTTCCATAAATAGTACACAATTCTCGTAATTATTTTTTTGGCAACATTTAAAATCCCTCGTTTAAAATCCAAATTGATTGCTATAAAAAGAATCAAATTTCATTTTAATATTGTATAATTTCGCTCTTTAATTTTACATCGTTGAAAATGTATAGCAATCACGAAAATAAACCTAAATCAAGCAATTCCTTTAAATAAACATACCTAAATTGTGCACAGACACTCGATTTACATAGAAAATGTGCTGCCCCAATTTCACTCCAGAATCGCTTTCACCGCAAAGCAATCGCACTGAATAAAAACGCATTTGAAATGTTCGTTGGTAAAAGAGTTTTCAAATTGTTTTTCCCTTTTATTCGATTATTTGTGTTTGTTTCTAAGTCACTTGTTTCGCTATAAAATCATTTCAATACCTGAAAAGATGTCGTTCCCTTTAATTCGCCTTTTACAAGAGCACAAATGTAACAAGCTGGAAATGTTTTGTCTGTTTTTTTTCTCTCTCTTATTTGCATTTCTAAAATACAAAAGCCAAAAGACGTATACTGTTCAAAGGTTTAAAGCTCTTAAACAACAAACAAACAAACGCAAATGTTTGATGTGAAACGTAAAAGATAGACGACAGTAAAAAGAATAAGAATACTCTTTTAAATAGTAAAAACATAATGGAATTATTATGAATACTTTACTACTGCGAAGTAGTTGAAGTAGTAGTTTTGTGTAGAAAATTGAAATCATTTAATTAACCACAAATCTATGAGTGAAATCTGCAAGAGTGTAACTCTTTTATGTTTCTTTATGTGTATGTTGTGTGTATGGAACGAAGAGATTGGGGATATGTTAACCTATATACCAGTGCATATCAAATAAGCAGCTATTCTTTTGACAATTCAATTACACACAGTGAGGAAAATAATACTCAAAACTTTTTTTCTGGTTGATGTTTCCATTGTTGAAATTATACACTGAGAACTTCAAACTTATTCGAATATTTTGACAGATTCTTGACTGTAAACTTGAAATTAGGAATGTCATTCGTGGTAAATTTGACATAAAAAACCAACTTTTTAATAAAAAAAACTTTGTGGCAATAAAAACCACTCGAATTCGCATAAATATTCTGTGTGTGTGCTGCTGTGTTTGTAGTGCTCAAAATGAATCTTGCACACGATATGAATGCATTTACATACGAAATGATTCAAATGTGTGTTTACATTGTGAACAAAATGTCAGAAATGATAACACAGCTACAATGTAGACGAACAAAAAACGTACGCGTGAAATATGATGTATGTTTGCGTAGTGCTCAGTGTGTGTATACATATGAGTGTGTGCATAAAACCATATGCACAAATTGCATTTAGATAAAATACTTTGAGCTCGATGTTTTGTAATCAGATTAATTCAAATGGAAAGAATAAGATGAGAAAGTGGTGGATTCAAAGAAAATATGGTAGCTCCAGAGCATTGCTCATTTAATACTTTCTACGTTCATGCTTGGTCTTGTGCCGTATGTCTTGAACGATGTGACGAGAATCTTGAAGAATTCACACGAAAAGCACACACACATACTCCATTCAAAGCGAAATTCGTGTGCATTTGGATTAAAAACGAAGAAACTGGAATTATTTTGACAAATGCGACTAGATCGAGAGAAAAGGATGAAGAGAGGGCGAGAGGGACAGAGATCTTATGCAATGCACAAATTAAATAAGTTAACTTCATCCGTTTACATAGCTTGACACATTAAATCACATTGCGACCGAATAAGAACAAACAATACACATTACACACGCATCCGAGTATTGCACTTTCGTGCTGAATTGAATCCCTGTCGTGAAACGAATCGCATTTCAAAATTAAACCGTTAGAAATATTTCGTAATTGAAAATCTCAAATGAATGCTCTGGCCCCGTTCGAAGTTTGAACGAATTCAAAACAATTTTTTTTTTCAAAAATGAAATAAGTGATATCCAGAAAATATATTTATCAAGCAATTTTATTGAGTTGGAAACAGAGAACGGGCGACAGAATGAATGGCAGAAATTTGCAGCCAAGGCAATACAATGAACTTAATTAAAATTTTGCAGGTGCGATTTAATGATGCAGATACAGTAAACATTGAGTTTAAGAAATAAATGTCTCAGTTAACGAACTTAACGACTCATTTCATAAGAATCAACATTACCGAAGCAAGCAAAAAAATTACAGTTTTTTCGCTCAATTTACAGACGAATTTAAATAACGTAAAACAAAGTAGAAAAACAGACACAAAGATATAAATGGAATTATATGAAAATTTTGTAAAAAAATCGATTTTGTTTTCTTGTGCAACATTTAAACAATTCACTCAAGTTATATTATTTTAAAAGAATTGTCATTCAAATAAATATGAGCTCTGGCTTTATATATTTTTCTTTATTCTGTGATCGGAATTGCGCATGCAATGCCATTCGTATTGCCAACAATTGCAAAGTGTGTTTATCTCATGATGAAACGATTGCAATATTTGATGAATTCGATGGAAGAATTTTTATATAAATGTAGCGTCGTCAATGATGCCGTGTTTAGCTCGTTGTGAGCGTCTGTTCGAATGAGATATAGCACGAGTTGGAAGAAAAAACAATGAAAATATCGAGAAAAAAATGGATTCGTTGCAAATGGAACCATTGAATTTAACCCGAATACCGTCAGTCGAGAGTGTGATAAGCACTGGGGATTTGTGCAAGGATTGTAACAGTGAATATTGTATAGTGAAAAAGTTTCGTGAATATAAAAGCGAGCAAGTTGTGTTGAATTCGTATCATCAATTTCAATGTGTACCGTGTGGAAAGTCATATACGGCATTATCGACGTTACGCAATCATCAAAGAACTCACGTTGAGAATAGATCATTTTTTTGTGAATTTTGTACGAAACTATTTGCTACAAAATACGCATTGAAAAAGCACACCGACGAACAGCACGCAAAAGAGGAAAAATCGTTTAAATGTGGACTTTGTGCGAAAAGATTTCGAAGCAAAAGCAGTTTGAGCGCACACAAACGTATGCACAAAAATGAAATGCCTGATTTTGAATGCACATTATGTGGCAAACAATTTCGATGGAAATCAAATTTCAAAGCACATCTTGCATTGCATCAGCATCAAAACTATGTGTGTGAAATATGCCAAAAGATATTTATGTCAGCGAATCGCTTACAAAAGCATCAACAAAAACATTCGAGCGCAGAAAACCAATGCCGCTATTGTCAAAATATCTTTTCAAGTCGATACAAGGTGAATTATCACATTCGATTGAAACATCAAAATATCGCCCCATGGCAATGCCAATTTTGTTTGGAATCCTTTACTACAGCTACCAAATTTCGTTCGCATATTTACGAAATTCACGATGCACCAAAACCGTTTGCCTGCAAACAATGCAATCGAACCTTTCGAACCAAATACAATTTGGAAACTCACAATGGCAAACACGACAACAACACCAGTAGCGACAACAACAACACGCATCCGTATGAATGTGACAGTTGTAGCCATCAATTTGTGCACAAACGCAATTTATATTCGCATATGATGCGGTGCCATCGACAAAACAAAGAACCAAACAACGACAATTCGCATAAAAAACGACTAACGCCAAATACCTTTGACCGACATCGATATTTTTGCAAATTGTGCCAGCGCGGTTTTGTCTATAAAAGAGCAGCATTCAATTGTACACACAATGCCAGCTACTATCATTTACGAAATCAAATAAATAACGGTTTGAATGGCGCTAATATTGAATTAAACCAACAGCACAACGAAACGGATAGGATGATGGTAAAAATTAGTTTGGTAGCCGAAAACCGATCTAACCAAATTATTCCTTTGTACCAATTGAATGTTCCAAATGTAAACTCGACCCCAACAGCAATTAGAATTTCCAATTCGGAAACATCAGTTGAAAGTGTACACCGAAATATTGAACCAGTCATACTGGTGCAAGCATTCACTACTCCATTGAATTCAACCACCAACAACTCCATTAGACAAAACGGTTCAGTTGAACATCCACACCAAAACGATTCGTTCAAAACATTCTGCGATTCACTTACGCCGGAAATTATCGTTATTGATAACAGCAGCAGTAGCAGCAGCTCTGATGTAGAAATATTTCCAGAAAAATCCAATGGAAAAACTATCAAAGAGTCAAATCTGTTATGCTCGTCATGATATCGATATCGTTGACACTTTTTTTATTTTAAACTATTTGACTTTGAGTTTTCCTTTTTTTGTGTATTTTATTCAGCTTTAGATAAAATCAATTTTTGTTGCACATTTTATATGACTAATTTTAGCGGTTAACGGTAAATGGAAAAATTTTATAAATAAAAATTTAAATAAGTTTATTTTCTTCTGTTTGAGTTGAAATAAATTGACAGCTATTTTTATTCGTTCATAACTTGCATTTAGGCAGGCAAGTTACAAAAATAAATTTATACAAATAGGTGCACAAATCAGCAGGAGTGAATGTGCGTCATAAACTTCAACGCAAAATTTATACAGAAACGCAATAAAGTTGTATCAAAAAGTTTTCAAGACGAATGATAAATAAATATGGCAAAAGCTGTACAGCAGGGGAGAAACGCATTTATTTGAAGCTTGCATTCGAAGCAAATGCGATTTGGGAAATTCTTAATTATTTGTTTGAACAGTACGAAGAGAGAGAGAGAGAGACAGAGGGCGAGAGGTTGAGAGCGAATCCAATGAAAAATGTCAGAGAGTTCAAAAGTGAAAATCTCCGAGAAGAAACATTTTCCAGAAAATAGATCAACAAAGCGAACAAACTTTTGAAATGTGCATAACAAATGAGAGCCGAGCAAAGTGAGTGAGCTTGTTTTCGATTGTTATTAAACGTTTGCTGAACATTTTTGACACATAAACCTAAATGTAGCGGAATATGACGTTTGAAGTGGGAAATAGTGCAGTTGCCGAAAATGCAGAAATCCATTTCATACATAAATATCTAAAAGAGAAATGCAAGTTTTATTTGCAGTTTGCAATTGTTATTTGGATTATTTCGGTGTGCATGTTCATTCAGTTGAGGAAATTGTTTGAGGTTCATCTTAACCATGGATACCATTGAGAGAATAGGATGAAAGGGGTAGGGAATGGTAGGGCACAGGTTTCGTATAATTTGGATTTGGAGAGCTTTTTATACACATATTTATTGTGTGTGTGTGAATGGCGTGAGTTCGAACATTTGGAAAGTTTACGATTTTCCACTCAAAATCCGTTAAATAATTTTCCAAGTTTTGTTTGCTGCATGAGCAATTTCATAATGTTGACACAGCGAGCGATCTCTATGACGCAGTCATCGCGCAATAAACTGAGTACAGGTATATATAGCATTCGGTGTTGTTGTGAACATTTTGCAATGTCAGCAATTGATATGAAACTTATGAAAATTGCCGGCCATACAAATAAGAATAAATAATAAATAATCCTTTGCTAACATGCAAATTCTAAACGCTATTAAGCCTCACTATACGGATAAATTGGTGATTATAAATGCCATTTATTTGCACGAGCATGTGTACGTGTATGCTGTACCTTTGTCGTCGTATTCACAGAATGGCTGTGCATTATGCACATGCAAATGCAATTAAGCAATGAACATTTGGCATTCTTTGAATAATTTTGACACTGCAATCTTGTGGTCGTTGTATCTGTCTTTCTCTTTCTCATTCCACCCCATTGGAAAGTTATTTTAATTGATTCAATGACATTGTTCTTCGGTTCTATGCTTCCATTGTTGGTAGACAAAATGATTTCGATGGAGAGAGAGGGTGTACTCAAGCGAAAAATGCTCTTGATATTCGCTTGAGTGACCTTTTTGAGACATTCGCCAAAAATACATCTGGACAGCCATTGTATTTATATGTATAATGACGATTCCCATTAGAAATCCAATCAAATTAAATCAAGATCAAATCTCGAAATGCAAATCCATTTAGTAAATGCATTTCTTCGTTTCATATATACATTCATGGTTGTTTTTTTTTTCATTTTTTTTCCTTTCAATGACCGACAAATGTTCTCCACTCAAAGTTTTTCATAGAAAATAGGTTTTAATGGGAACAAAAATTGTCGGTCGTTTTCATATCTTGAAAATTCAAAATGTAATTATCTGAGAATTGGTTGTTTTTTCTTTTGCTTTTCAGCAGGAAAGGTATTGGTTTCGGCACGATTCAGGGGTTACGATGAACAAAAAAAAAATACTCGGAGCAAATGTATTTTCTATATGTTTTCAGCCTAGAAACTCGAGAGCAACGGTATTTTCGAGTTGTCCTAATGGAATTCAATGGCTGAAAATGTGAATTACCCATGTGAGGTCACGATGCAGAAAAGTTCGTTTTACTGTTGTGTCATTTGTTTATTTTCTGTTGAAAGTGTGTTGTTTATTATTTATTTGCGGTAATTTTACACATTTTGTGTGTATTTTTTGCGGTCTATATTATGGGAGACTCGATGAAAATAACCTCAATAATCATTATTTTATATCATTTTATTGTACCGTTGAATATTCGAACATGGTTTTTCTCTTTGTTTGTCCGTCTCGTCGAAATGATATTTCATTTAATTTTATTATGTTGCTTTACCTTTGTTGTCGCAAAGCGACAGCTATAAAGTCAATCCATATCACATGCGTGCCGAAATAATTCCATTTTCTCTCCTCTTCTGTCTATCGTCGTCTGTATCGATGTGAGCAATAATCATAGTCACAGTCATTTTCGATCTTTCCTTTTCGTTTCCACCTCTTTTCCACATTCATTCCGAACGTATTTCTCATTCGTTTTTTTCGTTCAGTGTATTTGTAAACGATATGCGAATAATGACGATGGAATCAAGATAAAAAAAATTGTGTATTGCTCTGGGCTTGATATCCTCTTCTCAATCTTAATTTTGGATACACATCCATTCTGCGTACACATTTCAGTGTATGCATTTTTAATATGATAATAATTTCATATAATGCGCTTAATAATCCAACAATAGAATTCAGTCAAAAATACAGACACGATGAGAGAAGAAAAGTACAGCGCGACGAGAGTGTGAGCGATGTTTTTATTTTGATGACGGCCGGCTCGACCTCTGGATTGTCTCTTTGTTTGTCTCTCGCCGTCTTTAAATCACGGGTGTGTAACATGCGAATCATTTCAGTGTTGTTATTTATGTTAAACACCGAGTCCCCGACATACACACACAATCACAATGCCATTCGCAGTCTGTCCATTTGGTTTTCTCTATTTTCAGAGCCACGAATGGATTTATTATAATTCCTTACGTGCGACACATGACAAGCAAAAGCGACCGAGCAACGCAATTTCACAAATTACATTCATGTAAATGTGAGCGACGTTTTACAGATATTATATATATATATTCTTTGATCACAAAGATGATTATTATGACTGGACAATTTTCTTTGAGATTCAAATCGTGCACTCGAACACGTAGTGTTCATACCATATTTATTCGCACAAACAAATTCCTTTTTGTCCTCTTTTGTATTAGTCATTATAATTTCTGTAATAAGAATAACACAGACGGACGCATAGAGAAGGAGAAAAAAGCGTCCTACATTTTTATAAATGAAGTGGTATTTTTTTTATCTTCGTTTCGTTTGTATTTGCGCTTGAATTGATTTTAAAAGTCCTTGTTAGTGCCGATTCTAGCGATAACACAAGAAGAAAAGAAGCGAGCGAGAGAAAAAAGAAACGTTTTTATAAATGTTTATTGCACACAACTGTGATACATATTTTTATGATGGCACATTCTCATTAAAATATCGCCACAATTTGCTCATGGAAACACATTTAATCGGCGTTTCATTACATTTTAGTCAGATCGTTAGTATATATTCGGCAAATGATGCGATTCGGTGGCCATAAAAAACATGTTTGCTATGAGTGTGTTGCTCGGTTGACTGGTGTTGTTTTCGCTGTCGTTTTTGTATCTGTGCGAGAGAACACATCAATATCGGCGCGTACACACATTTTAAATCTATCCCAATGGTCTTATTGAATGAACGTTTCTACGGACGATCGCATTTCCAGCGAAGCAATAAACAAATTAACTAAAAGAACATCTAAGAAGACATAACACATACACGCAACGATTACGATGTCAAAATTGAAAACGTGGCAGCACATCATCGATGCGGAACAGACAACGAACAAAAAAAGATCTCTGTGGATTGTGGAACGAAACGAATAAAAATAGATTTGTATTTTAAATGGATCGTGCGGGCGATGTAGTTCAATTTTGCGCTGCAAAATGGTGAAAATAAAATACGAAGAAGTGCCGCACATCGTTTAGAAACTTTCAAATGCCGGAAAATATTTCTCGCGCTTATGTTTACAATACGGACACATATATATTATGATTCCATAACTATGTATATCTTAGCCGAACATCGAACACATGCTGTGAAAGCATTTAACTTTCTTCGAATAGACAACCTCTTTTTATCTATTTTTCTCCATAATGGAGAATGAAAACAGCTCATAAATTGGCACAACGGACGAACAAAGTTTCATTTGATGTGCACACAAGGCGATATCGTACATTCGGCGATAGTAGTTCGTTTTTATTCGATCAAAACTTTGCATAATTTCTCAAGAAGCTGCAATCGTATACTTGAATGTTGTGATCACAAATGGCCGAGTTGCCTTGAACGCAACTAGCGACCGCCTTAATTTTCTTCCATGGTTGCTTGAATACTCAATGCCACTATTGATAGCCATTTAACGAAATATTGTCGTTAGTGTTTGTGTTTTTTTTTTTGTTTTCTTTGTGCGAGCGCATCAAGCAAAAACAACAAACTTTTTGGCAGCGAATCTCTTGCGTTTTATAACTTTTTATTTCAGTTTAACTTTTCTTTCGATTCTTACCCGTTTATTCTTTTTTATTGATGTGCAATGGGGACACTTTTTATTCACGACGAATCACTTTTGATGATTTCCATTGTTACTCTGTTGCTTGCTTCGCTGGATTTGCTTTTCTTGCTTTTTCTTTGCTCTCTCTGTTTCGTTGCCATTTGCTCTTGTTCAGTCGTGCTCTATGTGTTGTTTGCTGACTTGCTGGCGAATAAAAAAGCTCGGAACCAAGTAAAATGCATCAATTTCTATGTAAATATGTTCACAGGATGTGGCAAAGTTTCCATTTCAAAGGCGAACGAAGAAAAAAGAAATCACGACGACCAAGTGAATTGTGCATTTTGACGAAATATTTGCATGTTTTTCGTTAAACGCTTCATTTTTGCAAATGAATGTTTTATTCAAATTTCACGTTCACG